GTTTGTCTGAAAGTTTAGCTATCTGCCGTTATCTGATCTCCGCCTTTCCGAATGATGTTCTTTATGTGCCGCAGACACCTGAAGCGCGTGCTCAAGAAGATGAGTGGTGTTGCTACATCTATGGTGAGTTAGATGAAACCAGCCTCTATGTGATGCGGCGCCATGGTGACCTGGGGCACATTTACGGTGACGCGCCTGACGTGGTCTCTGCCGCCGGAGATTATGCCGCTAAACACTTCAATGTCACTGCCAGCAGGTTGGGTGAGCAATCCTCGATTCTCGCAGAAGGTTTTGGACTTGCCGATATTATGCTGATGACCTGTCTGGACTGGGCGGTGGCTTATCAGTTGTTGTTACCCGACGCGCTGATGTCCTATCGCAGGCTTATTGCTCAACGACCAGCGTATCAGCGCGCAAAGGCGATCAATTTTGCACGCCTGATCTAAGCTCTTTGTAAACCGCAACATGGCACAATAGTCCTCTGCCCCACAGCACCAGTTGCTGTCTTGATGGGGCAAAATATAAAGGAGCAAACAATGAAACCTGTGTGTCTGGTAATGGGAGCGGGTGCCGGTATTGGCGGTACTGTAGGAACGCGATTTGCGCAGGCGGGCTACCACGCTGTGTTGTGTCGGCGTAGTGATCAGGAAGGTTTAGATCGTCTGGTTAAGGCGATCCATGAGGGTGGCGATGATGCGACCGGCTTTCTGTTAAATGCAGTTGAGGAAGGCAGCATTGAAGAGGCTGTTGCCCGAATCGAAAAAGACATCGGTCCGATAGAAGTGATTGTGTTCAACCTGGGCGCTCAAATTGGCGATCGATCGTTAAATCAGACCACCAATAAAGCTTTTGAAATGGGATGGCGACTGGCCACATTCAGCCTGTTCCGTTTGGCATCAGAGGTTTGCCCACTGATGGTTGAGCGTGGCAAAGGTACTATTCTGGTGACGTCAGCCACTGCAGCCGTCCGCGGCAATGCCGGACAGCACTCCCATGCCGCGGCGATGGGCGGGCGTCGTATGCTGTGCCAGTCATTGAATGCAGAGTTTTCTTCTCAAGGCATTCACGTTTCTCACATACTGGTGGATGGCATGGTTGATGCGCCAGATACTGTTGGCAAAATGTTGGGCGCGGAAAAGTTTAATGAGGTCAGGCAGGCGCGGGGACTTGAACACGATGGGCTGATTTTGCCCGACAAGGTGGCCGACACTTATCTGCATCTGGCACAGCAGCATCGTTCTACCTGGACCTTTGAGCTTGACCTGCGCTCATTCACTGATCGCCCCTGGTGGAATCACTGATGTCTTTATCATTAATGCAGCTGATGGCGGTACAAGTCGCTGAGGATGATGATCACTTTCTCGGTCAGGCTGAAACCTACGGATTAATGGGTATCTATGGCGGACATTTTGTGGGTCAGGCACTTGCCGCTGGCTTTGCAACGGTTGAAGAACCTAAGTTTGTGCAGTCTTTACACTGCTATTTCCTGCTTCCAGGAGACCCGGGTGTGCCTATTCATTATGCCGTGACGAGGTTGAGAGAAGGCCACGCTTCAGACGTGCGCAATATCGTTGCTTATCAGAAAGGCCGTCCCGTATTTCAGATGATGGCGAGTTTCAAATTGCCAGAAGAGGGTGATGAACATCAACCTGAGATGCCGATTGTTCGTGATGTAGAGTCTCTGCTGGAGGAGTTGAATACACAGAAATCTCCATTCAACCCGCCGCCAACCCTGGCAGGCAGAACGGAAATGGTGTTGGCGTCAGATCACTTTATGCAGCCCGCGTATGTTGCTGGCCGAGCAGCGACACTGAAGTTGTGGATGCGCTGTAATAGTGAGCGAGCGCTTTCGCATCGCGAGTCGCAGATTGCGTTGGCCTTCATGTCAGACAGTACGCTGATGTTCAATTCGGTCATCCCACACGGGTTACCATTTCAAACCCACCGCCTGACCAGTATTGATCATACGGTTTGGTTTCATCGACCCTGTGATGCCAGGCAATGGGTGTTGTTTGATCAGCGCAGTAGTGCGGCTGCAGATGGTCGAGGTATGAATCACGGTGAGTTGTACAACCGCGAGGGCCAGCTCATTATGACCGCTGTGCAGGAGTCGTTGCTACGGAAAATAGTAGAGAAAACATAGTGAGAAGCCTGGCGGGCGCGATCCGGCCTGTCTGCTCCAAACAAATTATCGACTGGGGAGAGTGAGATGAGTCACCTGCTGCTGAGCAAGGAAGATCATATCGCGACGATTACTTTTAATCGTCCAGAACAGCGAAATGCGTACACGCCGGAAATGGCGGTGAAGCTCACACAATACCTGAGTGACTGTGACAAAGATCCCGACGTGCGAGCGGTGATCATCACCGGCGCAGGCAAAGCGTTCTGTGTGGGTCTGGATATGAACGATGTGCGTGAGCGCGGTAGTCGGGAAGACCCTGATGCTGCCGAGGGGAACGCTGCGTTTTTTGAAAAACGAGAGGCTAACTGGGTCAAGGTCGAGCCAGACGCGCTGCCCAAATTCGGCCGCCGTAACGCAAATCCGTTTGGTACGGGCTAGGGTAGTTCCGAGCGCCGTTGTGCGGAGACTGATGCCCCCTTGCGCTGTTTGGGTTTTTTATTGCCTTTCAATGTCTTTTTACTGTTCTGTTTCCAGTCGTAGCTGGACAAGGATAGCCGCCACCATTTAGGTAGCGGCTGCTTGGTGTGTTGGTCATATGCTTTGATCAGCAGTTCGCGATCTGGCCATGCCAGTTTGTAACAGATTCGATTCAGGTCTTTGAAGCGCATGCGCGCTCTGGTGGACAGCGGTCTGTCGATGACCGCGCGGCCGATATCAATCAGGTAGAAATCTATTTCGCCGTTGTTACAGGTCATCATCAAATTCCCTGAAGATAAATCGCGATGAATAATGCCGCGCCAGTGCATATGGGCGACAAATTTGCCGATGCGCTGCAGCCAATCTTTTTTCTCAATACCCTGGTAGTGAGTCTGACCGTCCTTGAATGCGGTGAAAACATCACGACAGGAAAAGGCGCCTTCTATAAATTGACAGATGTAATAACTGTCCGCAGCATTACTGCTGGTTTGTTCAAAAAAGCCGAGCGGTTCAGGTGTAGTGACCCCCAGGCGCAACATCTCCGTCGCGTTGTTCCAATGTCGTTTCCCTTTACTGGGCAGAAATTTGTAGGTGAATTTTTTTATGCCCTTTGCGCGGTTAAGCTTTACCGTTTGTTCCCCTGGTCCCCACCAGGGTGCTTCAATATTCCACAGCTTGTTTCGCTTGTCTCGAAGGACCCTGCATTGGGGCATAGAAGGAAGCAGGTCGGGGATTGTGTCTCCTGAAGGCACGTCTGCGCTGGTATGGCCTTGCAACGTATAGGTGCCGCGCCATAGCTTGCTGTTGAGTGTTTGTGTCACCTTGTTTTCACGAGGCCAGTAAATGACGTCCAGCAACGCTTTTTGAGATATCTGCTGCAGAATGTTTTCCTCAGGCGCGGATACAGTATCTGCCCATCGCAATATCAGAGGTTGTTCTGTAATGGAGCTGGGTACATCACTGAGCGTCACTCCTTCTGGTGTGAAAAAGGACGCCTCTGAGAGGATATTCGAGGTGTACAAAGCATCAAGCGGGTAAATTTTTCGGTCTGCGCACCAGACAACATGAAAGCACTCGTCCTCGGGTGTTTGAAAAACAAAGTGGTGCACGCCATCTACATCGTTGTGCGCATTCAGGCATTGAGCGCCCCGCAACAGTTTCACACTGAAGCCTAAAGTGTTGTATGCGGCTGTTGGGAAGAACTTGTCGACTTCTCCTCGGACCTCGCGGTAGTAGCTCACATTGTCTACCTCTGGATAACTGTCGTCGCCGCACGCGATAAGACCATCGCGTTGGCAGATCAGTGGCCCCCAATAAACACGATCTAATGTGCCACTGGCGGCGGCGATCACGAGATATCGGATGAGATAGTCAGCGTTCTTTTTTTCCGGTGTGGCAGACCAACGTGTCAGGCGTTTCCTGCTCCAGCAGGTGTAGGTGCAATAGGTTTTTGAAATGCCGTTTTTACGGCTGATCGCATCGAGGATCTCAGCTTTTTTAATCAGATTAAGGTTAAGCCAGCGTGCAGCAAATTTACTGGCGACTCGATGATCGAAAGCTTCTGGTTCGACGACGCGTTCAACAAACAGATTATTCGTGTGAATGGCAGGCAGGGAGTGCACATTACCCATGGCGCTGAGGAAACCGACATTATATATGGGTTCAAAATCTGAGACGTTTGGCCCTGCTAAGGTTTTGCCGGCAGCCTCTGCGACCTGCGCAGCGATATGCCACGTAGTAAGGTAGCTCTGAGAACTGTAGCCGGCCCAGCGGCCTCGGTTCGGCGTATTGCCAATTTCGATACATCCAATCCGTATGCCATAGCGACGAACTACTTTCTCCACAAAGCTGCGCCAGCGAGTCTGGGCCTGGACATCTGTTGTCATGGCTGCCGCGTCCCGCTTGGGCGGTAACAAGGCAAGCAGAACATCGAAGCCTTCATCCAGCAAACGCTGTAAAAAACGCTCAGTTGCTGCGCCATCGGCATCATAGCTATAGCTGAGTCGCACATTCTGAATGTCTAATTCGCGTAAAGCACACACGACATAGTCGTCGCAAAGTGGGTCATCTGACGTGGCGACATTGATGCCAAAAAAGTCGTCGGGTACTGTTGTGCTGCGCTTTATGTCATGACGCTGGCGTAACCAGTGGGGTATGTCCTGAATTGCTCCAAGAAAACCTACAGCTGTATGTTGCCAGAGGGCAGTTTTTCGGGGTGAGGCTGTCATGGAGAGTGAATGTATCATATTAGGGGTTGTGTCTTGCGTTGAACCGGAAAAACATCATCGGTCCTACCCACAGTACCTGACAGGTATCATAGTCACTAACAGAATCCGCATGACTTGCCGCATGACGATGCTTGGGCTGAGCTGAAACATTAATTACCAAAAGGTGAATCTTCATGACTGAATATGTGCAAACCACCCTGATCCTGCTGTTGCTTGCACTCGGTCTCACCGGTTGTGCCAGTATGGAAACAACGCAAGCTCCCCAGGAGATCCCGGAAATCGCACCTGGGATTTTGATGGGTTATACGCCGATGGATCAACCCATAGACAGTAAAGTGTTTGTTTTGCCGGCACCTACCCCAGGCTCCGCCCATCAGACAATGGATGAGGTGATAGCCAAAGAAATGCTCACCCTGCGCGGTACACCACGTTGGGAGTTGGCTACAAGGGATGCCCATCTGCGGTTTCCCGAAGCAGCCGATACGTTCGCTTGCGCCCTGGGTATGCCGATAACTGAGGCCAACACGCCGGAGCTGTATATGTTGTTGCGCAGGACTCTGGCAGACCTGGGTCTGGCCGCTTACTCGGCCAAAAATGCTTACCAGCGTGAGCGACCATTCATGGTCAATGGAGCACCCATCTGCACACCTGAGGAAGAGACGATGTTGCGCGCTGACGGTTCTTATCCTTCGGGACATACCGCGATTGGCTGGGGGTGGGCGTTGATACTCTCGGAGCTTGCACCGGATCGGGCAGCGGCTCTTTTAAACCGCGGCCGTGTTTATGGCGAAAGTCGCAACGTCTGCAATGTTCACTGGCACAGCGATGTTATTGCTGGACGTATGGTTGGTGCGGCGGCAGTTGCGCGGTTGCATACAAACGAGATGTTTCTTGCAGCCCTGTCAGCGGCGCGGGAGGAGGTTGTGGCCATGAGGAAGATGAATCTGTCATCCGAACTAAATTGTGCTGAGGAATCTCAGTTGCTCGGATTAAATTACTGATAATTGACAGGTCGCTTTACTGTATGCGGTGCAATTGCTGACCTGTGTCTCGCCTATTTGATTGCCGTTGCATTAGAATTCGCGCCCACTGAACACAAGGAAAGATTATGGAACTGAGAAAAATTAGATTGTTGCTCGCATGTTCGTTAGGGCTGCTTCTGAGCTTGCCAACGACTGCGTTTGCGGGTTCTGACAGCGGCTTCTATTTGGGCGCTGGTATTGGCCAGAGCGATGTCGAGATCAGTGATTTTGACGAGAGTGACGGGTCCTACAAAATCTTCGGTGGATACAATTTTGGTGTTGTGCCTTTGATTGATCTCGCTGTTGAAGCGTCATATGTTGATTTTGGTGAACCTGATTCCGGGCCGCTCAGCGTGGAGCTGACGGGGTTGAACGCTTTTGGATTGGCTGGATTCAAGGTAGGACCGATCGGACTTTTTGCTAAAGCGGGTGTAGTTGCCTGGGACGCAAAGCTGGCGGTGGATGCGTTTCGTGATGATGAAAACGGAACAGATTTTGCCTACGGCGCTGGCGCAAGGTTTCAGATCGGCTCATTCGCAATCCGAGCTGAGTATGAGGTGTACGAAGTCAGTGACGTAAGAGATCTGGCGATGGCATCAGCCAGTCTGGTGTATACGTTTTAGCCAGAGCCTTATAAAACAGTGATCGCGCCTGGTCTGCCAGGCGCAAAGTGGCGTTGGTTAACTGGTTCTGCGCAACAGAGGCTAACTGTTTCTGCCGTGCCAACGCCATACCTTTTTGTTGACTTTCCTCTTTGAATACGTTTTATATGTGCTTAGGGCGCTGATGTAGATTGAGGTTTATATCTGGCGGACGCTGCGAGCTGAGGGGCCACAGACGTTGCGCATTCAGTAGCTACAGGAGGGGAGAGACGCGGGTTGTAAACTTACGCTGAACGAAATCTTTCTGGTGTAAGTCTGTTGTTTTTACGACGCCTTGAGCACAAGCCTCAACGCGCCGAGCCTGCTGGTTGTATCTGTCCTCAATTGGTGTAGTGGGTAACTACACTGTTTAAGCCAAGACTTATTTGTCGCGGTAAAGGGGAGAGGGTCTATGACTGATTCACTACGTGGTGCGTCTGCCATCACTATTGTTTTCTGTATATCCGTAACTTTTTTTGTAGCGTCGCAGCCAGTTCATGCTGAATCGGCAGAGGGGCGGCGAATTGAAGAAGTGGTGGTCACCGCGGAACGGCGGGAATCCACAGTATCAGACACTGCAATTTCAATTTCGGCTTTTGATGAAAAATTCCTTGATGACTTCAATATAAGGAATCAGGAAGACCTGCAGAACTACATACCGGCCACCACCATACAACCCTACGACGCGTCGATACGTGGTGTCGGGCGAACCGCAAGAACCCTGGGCGGAGACCCGGGTGTGGCGACCTACTTCAATGGCGTTTACTCCGAGGATTTTGGCATCGCCTCTACTGAAGGGGGTTTGAAAGACCTGGAGCGTGTTGAAGTCTTACGCGGTCCCCAGGGCACTCTCTATGGCCGTAACGCCGTTGGCGGCGCTATAAACTTTGTCTCCAAACGACCCAGCATGGAGGAATTTGAAGGCGAGGCTTCAGCCACGTTTGGCAATTACGATACACGCGAATTGTTCTACATGTTGTCGGGTCCGGTTATCAAAGACAAACTGGCACTGCGGTTTACCGGCACAGACCGCCATCGTGACGGCTACATCGAAGAGACCTCTGGACAAGGTGATGACATCAATAACTATGGTGATGAAAACTACACCCTTTCTCTGAACTGGACGCCAACAGATCGGATATCGATCTATGCACGAGGCAATGAGCGCAGCTATCGGCGTAAATTTAATGGCGGTGCTGGCACCATGCCCATTGTCGTTGCCGAGAACGGGGTGCAGAACAGAGATACAACCAGTCTGACATTTGGTAAGAGGGTCATCGATCGCACGCAGACAACCAACCCCTGGCAGTCGGATTTTTTTGATCCAAGTATGGAAATATTTTCATTCACTAATCCTGTGACCGGGGCCATGGTGGAAGCTCAGAACGTGCGTGCCGGTGTTGATATTCGTTCGTCTCTCACGGCTGTTACAGGCACAGATGCAAATGGTGCGATTGTGTACGGTAAGTCCGACCCAACGGCTTCTTCTACGTCTCCTAACTACGCTCTGGGTTTGCCGCAAAATCGTGTTCATGTCGCCGATCGAGACAGCCTGGATAAAAGCGATCTGAAAATTGACAGCAATGGCCAGTACGATGAATTCTTTGACCAGCAGGCGCTGCAGTTTAATTTTATCTATACCGCGGATAACTGGGAGCTGAAGTATCTTGCTGGCTATACCGACTTTTTCTACGACCGGAATACGGACGAAGACAAGACCGGTAACCTGCGACTCGGCAGTTCAGACTTTTATGTGCTGCAGGAAAACGAAAACTGGCAGCATGAGTTGCAGCTGACTTTCGACACGGAAAATCTGTCTGTCACTACCGGCTTGTTTGTCTATGACTCCACCATCAACCAGCGCCTCGACTTATATGATCCTATCGATACCCAGGGTCGCTACCAGGCTGATGCCGACTATTCCGGTCTGGCGGGCGGCATAGATGAGTTTGGCGCCGTGTTAGCGTTGTTAGGCGGGCAGGCTACTCCGCTGCTGGACATCTATGATGCACAGGAAGCTTTTGAGGGTGGCACGCCACTCGCAGCAAACGGTAGCGTTACGTTGTTTGCGCCCTGGTTCGGGGATACGGGAACCGGCTTGCGTGGTGCCCGGCACGACGGTGAAAGTACTCCCGGTACCTTCTTTGCCTGGGACAACGACATTGATACCCGCGCCTATGCCGCGTACGCCCAGGCTGAGTATGATTTTTCTGAGAAGTGGGCGATCACCATGGGGGTGCGCTATGCGCGGGACGAAAAAGAAGCCAGAGAGCGCCTCATCGGTATACAGGAATCTCTTGGCCTGACCGCGTTTGCGTTGTTTGACGCAGGCAGTATTTTTGCAGGCACACCAACATTCAGCGGCCCAACTCAGGATTACATTGATAACAACCCTGATGGCTTTGCGGCCTGTGGATCTGGTGCCAATTTATTGTGTCTGTATAACGCAGTGAGCGGTGCGATTGATCCGACGGGTGCAACAACCAACGGCGGTATTCAGATCGGTGATCAGGGTACTAACCCGGGTGACACCGCGGTTAGATTTTCTGGGGTACCGATTGCATTCAATATTTACAGGCCGCTGGAAAACGACTGGGATGTGTGGACCTGGCGAGCGAATCTCGACTATGAACCCACACCGGACACGTTACTGTATTTCTCAGTGACTACCGGCTGGCGCTCAGGGGGTTATAACCTCGGCTTCTTCTCAACAGCCACGCCGGAATATGATGAAGAGAATATCATTGCCTACGAATTGGGCTACAAAGGCACGTTGTTAGATGGCCGTTTGCAGATCAACACGTCTGTATTCATGTATCAGTATGATGATATTCATACCATCATTTCACAGTCTGGCGGATTGCTTGGCGTGAGCACCAACGTTGTGAATGCTCCAGAAGCGCGCACCTTCGGATGGGAAGGTGATGTGTTGTTTCTGCTTGGTGACAGATTTACGCTTGGCGGCAACTGGAGTTATACCAACGCGGAATTCAGTCAGGACTTCGAGGTCGTAGACGTCAATAATCCAGATATACCGGGGTCGATTTTTACTGCTGCAGAGCAGAGTGTGAGCGGCTTTGATGGCAGCAGCCTGCCGAAAATTCCAGAATGGAAATTCACACTTTGGGGCAATTACTCCATTCCGCTGGGCGACTCAGGAAACCTGGATTTCTTTTCCACGGTGGGGTACACCGACGACTTCTTCTTTGCCGCGCCATTTGAACGCGAACTGGATCGAGCACCAAGTTTCACGCGTTGGGACGCGCGTGCGGTTTGGACCAGCGCAGCGGGAAATTGGGAAGTGTCGGCGTTTGTTAACAATATAACAGGTGAACTGGGCGTCCGCTCTTTGGAAACAGAGGGTGGTGAAGAGTGGAACTTCCTGCGCACGGCTACGACCACCGACCCACGTGTGTATGGTTTAGGTTTACGTTATTCGTTCGGACGATAAAGGTAGACGGTTTTACTTTTCAACCTGGCCGCTAGAATTGCGCGGTGCTGTGTGATCGACGTAAATCAGCTGGTCGGTTGGAAAGTCGAGGTTGTCGGCTTTGTTAATAAGTGCTGACAGGGTTGTTGGGTCGAGTTGGGGGGAACGGGATAGAATCCACAGGTACCCCCGATCCGGCCCGGCAACTAATGCGTACTGATAGGCATCTTTGTCTAACTCAATGATGTTGTAGCCGCCGTAAAAAGGGCCAAAAAATGAAACTTTCAGTTGGCCGACGTCTGTTTTGCCAACAAAGTAAGCTTTGCCGGTGGCCTCTTGCCACTCACCTTTGTCGACTTTGTAGCCACGGTTGAGGACACTTACCCCGCCATCTTTACGCATGCTGTAGGTTGCGGTCACGTTCGATAAGCCCCGCTCGAAGCGATGATCGAGCCGGGCAACTTCATACCATTGGCCGAGATAACGATCGAGCTCAAACCCGGTCACCGCAGTGGCGCCCTCGGGAATGCCCGCGCAACCACCTTGTAACACCAGGCTCAGGAGGACCATGGCCAAGAAGGGAAACCTTTCGTTCATCTTTAATATCATGGTGGTCTCAGAATACGTAAGTAATGGCGGCGAAGCCTTTGATCACATGATCGTCGGCAACGATAGGGCTGTCGGTAATTCTGTCAGGCAGAAACTCAGCAGCTACGTTCACCACAATGCGCCATTCTTCAGTGAGCTCAATAAAGGTACCAAATCCTAATTCGTAGCTGACTGAACTGCCTGTGTTGTATGCCGGGCGTGTGAGTGTGGCAGCGCGCGCGGTTACACCAAAATCGTAATTGGTGAGTTCATCACTGAGCCAATTCACCTGCAGCTGGGGGACAAGACGCAACCAGCCTGTCTGAAAGCCTTTGGAGACGCGCGCCGTTGCACTGCCGCCGCCGATTTTATCGAGCACATCATGTTCGTATTGCATGGATAGGTTTACACCCCCAGGCAGCTCGTAGCGCAACCCAATGCCAGCCATAAGGGTGTTGTCACGATCCCCCATGCCGGCAAGCGCTGGACTATCGTCTTCCTCAAAAACCCCAATACGATAAGAGGCGGACGCAGCAAGACGCCAACGCCCGGTACCCAGTATGCCGTACTGTACGTTGGGGCCCAGCCACTGCAGACGCTCGCCGTTGTAGGTAATCGCTGGAATCGGGTTCAGAACAGTAGTATCGGATCCTACGTACGGACTGCTTCGCCCGATGACGCCAACACCAACACCAATACGCCCGCGCTCGCCCAGTACTTTGTAAATCTCAATATCGATGTCTGTTGTTTCATTCTCAGCGATGTTGAGTTTGGCGCGATCAAATGACGGTGGTCCTTTCGGACGGTAGTTGTTTGAAATGCCCAGGGGCTCTTTAGGGATGCCGATGAAGTTTTTGTCGATGAGGCCGTTTTCGTTCTCATCAACATAAACCAGTACCGCGACCTCTCCTGCCGGCACATTCTCAATAAGATAAGTGGCGTCTGAGCGAACAGGTGTGCGCAATTCTTTTGCGGGATCACGAAAATCACCAAATGCACTGGCTGAATCGTAAACTTGAAAGACGAGTATCCCGCTGCCGGGTGCGCCATTCATGGTCACGGAAATATCTGCCGCCTGGGCCAGGCAGGTGCAGATTGATAAAAAGGCTGCGATGACGCGTCTCATCTTTTTGAGTCCAGAGAAATTTGTGCGGCACCCTAGCAGCGCGACTGTGTAGTGGCAATTGACGCGGCAGGATTAGCCGCGTTGGTCTAACAACTTTTCGATGCGTTCAAGGGTGGCCAGTATCTGCAGCTGGGTCTCGTCTTCTGCAGATGCGCCAAGTGGTGTATCTGAATGTACCGTCTTTCTCAGTTTGTCCCGTTGTTGCAGCACCTGATCTCGAAAAGATTCTGCATCGATGACACCTAACAATTTAACCAGTGGGCCAGTTGAAGACTGCCCGGCTGTTTCCACTGAAAGCTGTTTGATGCCGAGGTAACGCATCAGTGGCCCCTCAACGATGCCCAGATCAGTAATTTGTTCCAGCGGGACATTTTTCTCTGTTTTCACCAGCACGCCCTTGCGGACCTTGAGAAATTTTTCGGTCATCTCGCATGACAGCGCATTGAAGTGCTTGTTAATCGCCCACAAGACCAGAGGTATGAGCAGGATGCCAAACAGAGTGATCACTAGAACGAAAAGAAACTGGAGGAGCATGTAAGTTTTGATCTTCGGATCAAAACTGCCCTGCAGCAGAATGGCGTCACCCGCTTGGGGGAGAGTATCCTTGTTACTATTACTCATACTAACTCGTCAAGGTTCCTAAGTGCGATCTAAACGAAAAACCGCAATTGAATCCTGTGCTTCTTCAATGGGCGGGAAGCCATCCACGATCTCTGGATAATCGGGCCGGTACTTATCTACATAGGCATTCAGAACAGGCTCCCAGCCACCGCTCAGCAGGGTTGCGTTGAGCGCGTAGGTGCGCTCGCCTAATCGCATTTCTACGGGGCTGCCTTGCCCGATCATCTCGACCCAACCGCTGTCCCTGGCGCCGACAACATGCAATTCTCCGTCATGCTGAATGACCCAGATAATCACAACGCGCGGAATAGACCCTGGTATGCGCAGTTTGATTTCGTGGGTTTCAGATGTATCCATCCATTGCGCAGGGGCCGGTGTAGGCGTGCCACCGATGAAAAAACCTGGCATCGGCCCGACCGGTGCAATCACGACCAGAATTGCAGCCACGATAAATAGACCAGCGAAAATGTATTTTGCGATTTTCATAGTTAAGTTCTCCGTTCGGCAGTATCTCGCAACATGAAGAAATTACAAGGTTGCACCCAGCACCCGCACAGCTTCGACAACGGTTTCTGGGTCATGGATGGGACAAGTTACTGATGCAACTCGATCTGTCTGTGTGTAGAGCGGTCCTCACTCATCTCTTTGGCTTGTTCAATCAAACTGTGCGCTAAGGCGGCAGCTTTTCCTAGCATAGAAAAGCTGCTTTGTGCTGCGCTTCAAGGCGTATGTTCGGTAACGAACGTCGCCACAAGCTCGCCGATCTGATCGTCAGCTGCGTTGATCTCCGAAATCAGAGATGTATGGTCTCGGTCAGGTACCTCAATTGCTCTGACAGCTCTGTTACCGCTCATGGTGAGTTCTTTTGCCAGCTTTTCGTTCTGGGTGCGGCGCCATGGGTCGTCGCCGTCGGCATAGATAAGCAGCATCGGTGGTTTGCCTGGTGCAATATGCGGTGTAACCGAGGCTGCCAACCAATCCAGAGGCACTTCGCCCCAAACTGACTTCGACCGATCTTTTGCAGTCTCCTCTACATAGAGAAACGGGCTGACCAGGATGGCACCGCTGATATCGGACAGTGCCAAGTCATGCTGCTGCAGATGTTGTGGATCCAGGGCCAGCAGAGTGGCCAGATAGGCACCGGCGGAATGTCCACTAACGTATAGATTTCGTGGGTTGCCGCCGTATGCGGCAATGTTTTTGTACACCCAGGCGGTGGCAGCTGCCGCATCCTGGACATGTGCTGGATGCATCACCCCGGGCGACAGTCGGTAGTTGGCAGACACCAGGCCAATGCCTCTGGCCAACAGCCGTTTGGCCACCACCTGCGCCAGGATTTTGTCACCGTACATGAGACCTCCACCGTGAAAGTAGACGACCACGGGAGCGTTCGTTGCGCCCAAAGGCATGTAGATATCCAGCTTATCTTTAGCATCGGCATAGTCGGCGGTTGGCAGATAATCCACATCCAGTGCCGTAACAATCTGCAGTTGTTCAGCGGTACTCGGCATGGCGACGGCAAGTGCGATAAGTAACGGAATGATTCTTTGCCTGGGAATTCCTTTCAACATCATCTGGTATTTTCCAATGTAGCCTTTCAGTAGAGGTCACGCTGAGGATGGAAACTCTAACAGGGATGTTCATCCAAGAGACAGAGTATTCCAGCATTCAATGTCGCAAAATTTTTGATGACTGGAATGTTTCGCATGTACGACGCCGACCTACGTGCACTTTAAGACGCAAGTAGAGTCAAACCACTAATACATAAATCGAGGCCCAAAACCAAATCCCCTGAGGATGTCCCTCAGAGGCTAGGTGGAACATTTGTTGAAAGCAGGTCCATATTTACATAGCGCATAAAGCTGTTGTGCATTGCAGTCTCGGGTCATTGTTGGTTCTAACGCCGGTAGCAGGGACCTCACCCTGTGCAACCCGGAGCGGACCACACCTGTCAGGACCAACACGCTGATCAAAAATTCTCCCGCCACAGCTTGGCCGAGCGCATCTTTAACGGTCTGTCAGGCGATGTGAGCACGCGGCGGGCGTTTTCTGGACCCCTCAAGTCCGTCCTGAACCAGGGTAATCAGTGCGCTGACACCAAGACTGTAGAGGCTGATCACAAATGCGATTGCGCAACCCAGCGTGAACATGAGCAGCCACTGCAACAGGCTGCCGTGGAAGGTTTCCCGTCCAAATGCGTAAATCAGCACGAAGCACAGCCAGGTGATCGCCGCAGGAATCATTAAATAGAGAACCTTGCGGGTGAATCGCAGCACGGGAGCGGAGCCCAACAGCACTCGCTTGATCAGCGACAGCAAGAACAGAACAGTAGACAGTTGCCACCACAGCGACACGATCAGCGCGACAAAACCATCATGGTTCAGGCTCAGGCCACCGCTCTCGGTGTCGTTTACAGCACCGTCAAGGCGCGGCAGCCACTCGTGGCGTTCCCACAAGCGCACCAGAGCCTCTGCAATGACAAACCCTTCCTGCTGGAAATTTGCCAGGGCCATCAGTATCAACGTCAGCCACAGGAACGCCCAGGCCACCATCATCGGCACAAACTGGGTGCATCGAAGGTAGTCCAGTGCCATCACAGCCAGGGTTTTGACGATCTCGCCGACTTCTTTGCTCATCTTCGCTCTACCTATTGCAGCCGCAATCACGTTGGCTCCATGCTTTTACCCTGCAGCCAGAACGTGCCTATCCATGCCGCACATATAAACCACTCTCTCAGTTCGCTTCAATAGCTCAACGCAGTGCTCCGTAAGGCAACAACCCCGACCGCCGGACGAAATCAGACCGCTTTCGAACATCCGCTTGAACGCCTCCCACTTTCACCTCCACTGTCCCCTGTGTCTGAATCGGAACGGCAACAGCAACCACTGGATAGATATACCCAACCTTGCCGGACACAACGATGCGCTGATCGTGAACGCCGGAGACCTGATACTACGCTGGACCAACTATTACTGGACCAGCAATGTCCATAGCGTTCTGGGTTATGACAGCGAAGTGGCTGCTCCGGGCGGGCAGAATGCCATGTCGATAGTTTTTTCTCAGGTCCACATGAAGACACCAGAATCATCGGATGAACCAGATGAAAGTTGTTTTCATCTGTGTTTCTGCGTCGTTCTTCATGTCGGATTTTCTCAATCCCATCGGCTTGTTCGCCAGCGTACAGGTTTGCGGTGCCGGTACTCTGGTCAGCGTGATCTGGCTGGTCGTCTACCGTCGACGGGTGCCCTGATCCCCATGCTGCAAGGCTGATGGTGGGTCTGGCTGCAGCCGCGTAGGGGCATAGACCGCGAATGGCAGGTCGCGATAGCTGCCGGGATGAACTGCGACATGACTCAGTAGCGCAGCAGTGGTCTGTCGGTGCCATTCCGGCAGCCTGGGGGCGCGGCTTTCCTCTGCCAGGGTATCCAGGTAGTCGTAGCAGTCCAGCTGCCGCCGATGAAAGTGACGTTGTGCCACCCCATCTGCGCGCAGGGCCATGACTCGGGCTGCCGCTTCGCCGGCTCGCTGCTCAGCGGGGGGCAGGTGGAAGTCTCCAGCCAGCAGTCGCGCGAACCAGCGCGCCTGTACTTCAAACAGAGGAAACGGCACCACCTTGAACGGCAGGCCGATGAACGCCAGGGTGGGATGGTCCACGTGCAGCAGATCCCGATACAGCGGACTGACCCAGTTGTCGTCGACGTTAACCAGGGCCGGGTCGAGAAACGGGAACCGATAGTGATAGCCGGTGCAGAAAACCAGCACCTCGACGCCGTCGAGTACCGCACCATCCTGCAGCACGATGGTGCCATCGGCCTGCAATGCCTCAATGTTCTGCCGCCGCTGAAAAAAGCTGTTGGAACGGGCGGCGTCCGGCAGGGTTGCGAACGCGGGCGTACACCAGTAGAGCGCGGCGGCGATGCGGCCGATTTCCATGCTGAGGTCCACGGCCGAGGCTGATGCCCCCAGTACTGCAACCCGCTTGCCCTGGAAGGGCGAAGGCTCACGGTAATTATGACTGTGTATCAACTGCCCCGGCCACTCCGAGAGGCCGGCGAGTGCGGGCACCCGTGGTTCGCTGTAGTGCCCGTTGCACACCGTAACCGCGTCGAAGTGACTGTGTCGGCGCATGCCAGCGGCGATGGATGTAACGGTCCAGCCAGTACCCGGCTCGATGGATTCAACCTGCTCGCCGAAACGGATGCAGCCATACAGGCCAAAACTGTGGGCGAAGTTCTCAATGTACCTCAATACTTCAGCGTGCCCGGGGAATCTAGGCCACGCATCGTCACCCCCACCGCTGCTGTCGAACGCGTAGTCGCTGAAGGCCATCAGATCACGTGGCAGGTTGGTGCGCAGGGAGTGATATAGAGAACCATGGATTCGAGCGCCGTTCTGCCCCAGAGGATCGGCCTCGGTTTCCGATGCGTAAACCCAGATGCCGCCCACGCGGTGGTTGCGTTCGAAGATAGTGACCGTGTGGCCGCTGCGGATGAGTTCACGGGCCGCGACCAGGCCTGCTGCGCCGGCACCTATTACAGCTACGTCCATGGCAGGTATCTGGGCTCCTTCGGCTGAGTGTGCATTCCAGGCGTACGCGACGATTGCTGAAATGACGCGATGGCGGACGCTCAGGGAGGAACAGAATCGCAGTTCGATGTCCGTGTGGCAACTGTTAAGTCACTGACAGGGGGACGTTTGAGGTGGTCCCTCGGTTGCCTCGCCAGGTTGCGCACCGATGCAATGCCCGGACGCGCTTCGCAGTTGCTACTCATACACGCGCATATCGATCATTCCGGCCGCGTGCCGTTACTGGTTAAACGCGGCTATGCGGGCCCCATATACACCCACCCAGCTTGCAAAGCTTTGTGTGACATCATGTTACAAGACTCGGCCTACCTGCATACAAAAGATGCTGAATGGGAAAATAAGCGGCGCAAAAACACCGAAGAATATGTGGAGCCGCTTTACGACGTGGATGATGCGCTGAGCGCCATCGAACTGTTCCAAGGCACGCAGTACGGTGTTGTTGAAGAAATTTTGCCCGGCGTAAGGTTACGCTTCTCAGATGCCGGGCACATACTCGGCTCATCTATCGTAGAATTCTGGCACGAGGAAGCCGGTAAGACGTCGAAGCTTGTTTTTTCCGGTGATCTTGGTTATCGGGATTCGCCGGTGATGAGAGATCCGGCAATAATTGAATCTGCTGATCTGGTCCTGATGGAATCCACCTACGGCGACCGACAACATCCCGCGTATGAATCCACACTGACGGAACTCGGTGAGGTGTTTGAAGCTAAGCAGGGCGATCATCGGGCTCGGGTGGTGCTCGTGAGGTGTCTGTTGTTGGTTTTCGCGCTTTCAGATGTTCAAGAAGAGTGTGAATGGCATCGGGTTAGGTGATTTCGGCGATGAGCCGTAACCGCTCACCTCAGTGGGGGCACAGCGTGATGTCGATGTCTTATGCGCCGACTCTGAAATGGTTCGATAAGCTGAGTGCAGGCGGTAATGCCGGTGAGGCGCAAAGACTAGGGAAAATTTCTCAGGCACCAAATGGGCTCAAACACGTGATCAGGCCTCGCGAGTCGAGGTGATACGTTCGTAAGTCTTTGATTTGAATGGTGGCCAGGGACAGAATCGAACTGTCGACACGGGGATTTTCAGTCCGTCCAAACCACTGGTCAGTCACATACGAGACTAGAAAGAGTGTCAAAAATCAATCACTTATGTCCAGTGGATTCTTAATCTTTTCAGTCTCATGTCGCCGGAGTGGCGACATGAACCCCACCCCCAGGGGATGGCCCGCCGCGCGCGCGTTGATCTATATTCGACCCATCGGCTAAATTGGTGCTACCATCGAAGTCCTTCTGGCTAGCATTCGCATTCGCCGCGCAGTCTTCGCTGGCGTCAGCAATGCCCTCTCCCATCGGCATCAGGTACGTTTTGAATCAGCACCGTCACACTGATGTCGTAACTGCCGGTATTATCATTGCTGCCACCAACCAACCGGTAAGTCCCAGTCTGATTCGATCGACAACTCGAAGAACCGGTGGCTTAATACAACGGAACTATCTCTAACAAAGTGGCCATGCGGCAGGGGATGGGTCACTGTGGCATTGAGCCGGATATTCAGAGACGGGGGCTTTAAGTCGATATATGGTCTGTACTAGGCTTCTTCTGTGTGCGGCTCTGATGTTGGTTATCAATCCCGTGTTTGCAGGTGTGCGCACTGATATCGAGACGGGAACGATTGCAACCTTAACTGTGGGCGCGGGACCTCAACCAGGCGCGAAACAAAATAACCGTACGTTAGGTTTGGATCTTAATCTATGGCGATTTGAACGTAGTGCACGCCAGCAGTTGTCGTTAGGTGTGAGCTATACCTATTTGGGTACTTCAGCGAGTACGAATCGCCACCTACATGCATTCTCTGTTTATCCTCAGTTAACTCTAAGACCGACAGTAGATGGTTGGGTTAATCACTTACTACCATCCCAATTTAGGCCGTACTTTTTTGTGCGAGCGCTTGGACCGAGTTATATCAGCGACAATTATTTAGGCGAGCGTCAGCAAGCAGATCATTTTGCTTTTCAAGCCCAAGTCGGGGCAGGGGTTTCATTTACGAGCCGTGGGGGACGCGCTCAACATTTGAGCCTATCGTGGAAACACTTTTCCAATGCCAATTTATTTTCAGACAATGACGGGATAGAGGTGCCACTGGTATTGAGTTTTGGCGCGAGTTTTTAAGAATAAACTTACCGTTAAGTGTTTGCTCTGAATATCAACGATGTGTTGATGCCGCCGAAGGCGAAGTTGTTACTCATAACGGTGTTGCATTCCTGTTCGCGTATCCCAGACTTTACATAGTCTAACGACGCACAGGCAGGATCGACTTCCCTTAGATTTAGTGTGGGGTGAAGCCAACCTTCTCGCATCATATTGATAGCAACCCACGCTTCCAACGAACCGCAAGCACCCAACGTGTGGCCGGTATAACTTTTTAGCGAACTAACTGGTATGCGGTTGCCGAAGAGCTCTGCGGTCGCATTTGTCTCAGCGATGTCTCCGCGATCAGTAGCGGTCCCATGGGCACTAATATATCCGATCGTCGCTGCTTCAGTGTTTTGGTCTCGCAATGCCAACTCCATGGCAATGCGCATAGTTTCTTGGTTTGGTTGGGTGATGTGCGCACCATCGGAATTCGTGCCGAAGCCAATTACCTCAGCATAAATGGGTGCACCGCGTGCCTTAGCATGTTCCATTTCTTCTAGAATTAGCGTGCCCGCACCTTCACCGATCACCAGACCATCTCTTTGAATATCAAAAGGGCTTGGTGTAGAGGCAGGCTGGTCGTTTTTTGTGCTGGTCGCAAACAAAGTATCAAACACAGCCGCTTCGGTGGCGCTCAATTCTTCAGCGCCACCGGCGATCATGGCAGTTTGCTTGCCGCTGCGAATGGCCTCATAAGCGTAGCCGATGCCTTGGCTTCCTGACGTACAGGCACTAGAAGTAGTAATGATGCGCCCGCGCAGACCAAAGAAGATGCCTAAGTTGACAGCAGTGGTGTGCCCCATCATTTTCAGATACGTGTTAGCGGTTATGCCGGCTGTAGTGTGATTCGACATCATGTTGCTAAAGTCTTGGACTGCTGTTGGGCTTCCTGTTGACGATCCATAAGAGACGCCGACCTCACCACTATTGAGCCAAGGGTCATTCAGAAGACGGGCATCTTCTAGAGCTAGTTCGGTCGCACGTGTGGCGAGTAAGGCGACTCGCCCCATGCTGCGAGTCGCCTTTCTTGAATAGTGCGCGGGTTTTTCGAAATTTTCGATGGGTGCACCTAAGCGGGTGTTAAGCCCTTCATAGATGTCCCATTCGGACATGAAACGTACGCCTGAGCGAAGCTTCTTTAGATTTGAGGATACCTCTTTCCAGGTGTTTCCTATGGGCGATAGCCCCGCCATGCCAGTCACGACAACGCGCACCATCAGCTTAACCCACCGTCTACACTGATTACCTGGCGTGTTATGTAACTGCTGTCTGGTGAGACTAAAAAGCTGACCACCGCAGCAACTTCGTCAACGTTACCTAAGCGGCGCAGGGGAATCATGTCCTTTATTTTCTCGGTAGGAGCATCACTGATCATATCTGTTTCTATTAGCCCCGGAGCTACACAATTTACCGTTATTTGACGCTTAGCCAATTCAAGCGCCAGCGATTTCGTAGCGCCGATTATGCCTGCTTTGGATGCACTATAATTAGTTTGGCCTCGATTGCCGATGACGCCCGATACGGAAGAGAGAGTCACTATTCTTGCCGGCTTTCGAGTCCGGACCATGGGCATTACGATGGGGTGCAGGACATTGTAAAACGCGTCTAGGTTGGTGTGTACGACGTTGTCCCACTCATCGCCGGTCATCGCAGGAAACGCAGTGTCGTGGCTCAAGCCTGCATTGCAGATCGCGCCGTAGTAACTACCCCATGTGGTGATATCGTCTGACAGGGCTTCATTGCAGGCCGCTCTATCTGCCACATCGAATGTCAGCAGACGAGCATTACTACCGATGTCGACAATTTCTTCGACTACAGCCTGTGCTTGGTCTATTTCACGGCGGCAATGAACAACTATGTTGTAACCGTCTCGCGCAAGGCGTAACGCGATGGCTTTACCGATACCACGACTGGATCCAGTGACTAGAACCGTTTCGCTCGTTCGATCGTGTGCTTCTATTTCCATTACGTTGGCTCAGTGGTCCTTTTCTATTTGACACTGTCAGTACTGAATGCATCGACAGAATCGACAGATAAAACCGACAATCGGCCACTAATATTAACGTCCTTTCCAGAAGTTGTGCCATAAAACACCGCCATTCCATTCTGCATTTCCATAATCAACTCGATGCGGATAACCATAGGCTTATCGACAACCAGATACTCCGCATCAGCATGAAAATCCCTTACGCCCATAAGCAACCCGGTCTTAATCGGCAGCCCTTTGGCTCTACCGCGATAACCAGCCCATGCTGCAATTGCCTGAGCCATATATTCGACAGCAATAAAACTCGGCACCTGGTTCTGGTTGTTGCTAAACAGGCCGTCAGCGCGAACAAGAGTTTGAGCTACCAAAGATGTATCGGTCACTTCGCGCAACTGATCAAGTAAGACGAGTTCACCGGCATGTGGCAGAAGTGAGGCGATCTCTAAGTCTGCAATATTCATTCTTCGCTATTCGCCAACACAACGCTTGTGTTGTTGCCGCCAAACGCGAATGAATTACTCATGCACACTCGCGGGTTCACAGCATGGTGATTGTTGGTGCTAACGAGATTAAGGGGGGCGATATCAGGGTCTGCTTCACCATCCCACAAATGCGGTGGAAGCTTTGCCGCCGGGTTGTAGTGTGATTGCATTGAAAGCCAACATAACGCGGTTTCGATTATACCGGCCGCACCTAATGTATGACCCGTAAGGGGTTTCGATGAGCTACAAGGCAACTTGCTACCGAAAATACGATTAACCGCAAAACTTTCGGCAGCGTCATTCAGAGGTGT